GGTGTAAGGGTGTTAATTGAGAAAATCTAGTCGGGTATTATTTTGGGTCGATTCGAATAAAATTCGGCTCGGGTTCGATTCGAATGTTAAACAAATTAAACTTGAACAATTTTTTAAACTCATTTTAAAAAAAAAAAAATATTTAGCTTCACTCAAGTTTGCAAAATTTTACTTGTTTATATATAAAAATGTCGAGTTACTCGGTCTCAACTTGAATTTTGAGTCGAAATTAAACAATTTTTTAAACTTATTTAGAAAAATAAGTTCGTCAGGTTTGCACTCAAACTCGTAAAGTTTGGATCAATTAACATCCTTACCACAGTGTATGTGTAATATTGCTGAGACTACAATTTTTAAAAATCAATTAGAGATTATGACTAATTGATCAATTATGGAGGTTATATATTTATTAAAGACACTCGTAAAAAAAATATAAAGAGAAGAATAAAAATCTTTATATGGTGTTTATAAATCTTGAAAAGGCGTATGATAAAATGTTTATAAATATAATATGGAAAGTGCTCGAGAGAAAATGAGTGACAAATAGGTACGTTGAGGTGATAAAATAACATATATGACAGGACTATAACTATAATTAGATCGTCTGTGGGAGAAAGCAAAAATTTTTCAATCATAATTGGATTACACTAAAGATCAGTCCTAAATTCATACTTATTTATCTTAATTATGAATGAATTCACTAGGCACATTCAAGATGATGTCTCAGAGTGTATGCTATTTATAAATAATATTACCTTAGTAGATGAAACTCGAAGGAAAATTAACAATAAACTAAAAATTTGGAGAGAGACGCTCCAGTCAAAAATTGTTTAAAATAAGTAGGAGTAACATCGAATACATGCAATACAATTTTAGTAATAAAAAAAAGTAGATGTAGTGCAAAAGTTAAGATTAAAAATCAAGAAATACCAACGAATAGACGATTTAGATATCTAGAATCGATCATTAATAAAACAGTCAATGACAATAAGGTAAATATTGGGTCAATACCCAAATATATAGTGGTTCGTTCCGAGTGACCTTCTCTACTTTGGAAAACGACAATAATGGGCGGAGAACCTTTATTAATGAAGTAAGGTGAACGAGAGAGAGTGAGAAAGAACAATTGTTAGCTCCAGGAGGGGTACAATAACTAGGAGAGAGAAAAATTATGTGAGGGCTGTGTAGAGAGCTGTAGAGATATATCTCTTTCAATGGAGAGAGCTTACATTTTATATGCACAGAGTCTTAATTAAGGCGGTCACTTGAGGGCAAATATATTAGTTCTTTGGGAATCTACAAAATGTAAATACAATTAAAGATTGCATTGATTTTTGAGAGTTAGTATTTCGATGATTGCTCTCCACGTGCTCTAATTTTCTTAGACTCCTTGAATTATATATTGGGTCAAACCAATGAGTTGGGCTTGGAGGATCCTTTTAGCTGATCTGGGATCACTTGATTTATTAAACTTGACCCAGTTAAATCCGGGCTTGTCAGGTTTGAAGTTTTTTACCCTAACCCGATTTGATTTGACTACCCAAATTTTTAATTTTATTTTTCATATTTAGGTATGATGTGTCAAATTTATGATCATAAATCGTTAGTAATTTGAATATTGTTTGTTTAATGGACCACATAGAAATATATTCATTATTTCAGAGACAAAAATAATATAATTAAAATATTAGAGATCAAAATAAAATAAACTCCATATTTTGAAGATCTCTTGATGGACCAAACCCAAATGACTCAACTCATGTTAAAAGCCCAGTCTTAATTAAGAGTTCAAACTTATAAAGATCCAGTATCCAGCCCAAAGGGGTCCACACTCGATCAAGGTCACCAAGGGAATAAGTAGGATCTTTAGCAGCCTTATGCACGCCGCCTTAGAAAAGGTCAACCCTCACATTATTCTTTGACCACATCTTATGGAGAGCACTATAACTGTCTCGCCTGTTGAGAAGAGGTCGTCAGTTCCACCATATTAGTCACTTAGTTACTGATAACTCACACCAATTTGTTATGAGGCGATTATAAATTGTAAGCCCTACTAACACTTGAGGGGCAATACACTCAGTCGAGCACATCTCTCCCATCTTTCTTTCTTTATTAGGTTGCATCTCCTTGCTTTCACTATACACCTTGAAGTAATAGAATACCCCCACGACCCCAACCATTTAAAGTGGATGTAAATTACGTTGACTGAACCACTATAAATCCTTGTCTTCCTTATGTCTCTATATCTCTCTACTTTACTACTGCATTTATTACTGCTCATCTGACAGGTGATGTACAAACCCAATTTGTGCATTATCACCTCTAATGCAATTAACCCATAAAAATATAATATAAGTGACCAGTTATTTGATGAAATTGAGCTAATATTCAAATATAATATGATTTAATTTAATCCTAATGTTTATTTGATGAATTTGATCCAAATACAATCGGGCCTAGTTTTTGGTTTTCAACAAATTCATGAGTTGGGAAAATAAATTTTTTAAGATATTGAAATCGAATTTTAATTCAAGTTTCTATCGAAAGCAATGATATTGAGATTTAAATTATTGACATCATTTGTTAACTTAATTAATTATAACAATTGGATTGATTGAGAGTCTCATTAAATGTTGAAACTTGAAGTTAATCCAATAGTTCAAATAAAACCACATTATTAGATCAATAAAATATCTAAGTTTTTTAGATCTAAATAATATTACTTTTCTATCAAAATTCCCATTTTGTGGAAGAACGAAGGAGATACTAGGAATTAATTATCAATTTATCGTAGTTTGAAACAAATTTATCTAAATATGCCATTTTTGAACTAATTTAGTTAACTACGACACTTTTAAAAAAGCGGGATTGTAACTGTTTTTAAGAATAAATTCATTGGGCTTAACATCCTACTTTTATATTTGATTGAAACACTGAATATTCTTGTCCGACTAAAGATAAAAAGTGGGATCAATGATCTCATTTTTTAAAAGTATCGTAGTTTAATAAATTAATTCAAAAACGTCATATTTAGATAATTTTGTTACAAAATTGTCTTTATACTTAATTCGAGATACTCCCAAGTTGGTCGTTGGACAAGAGAGAGAGAGTGAGATGGGCCATGCTTATATTTGAGTTGGATAACACTACGTTTTAATATTCATTAATTTTAACTCAATTTTGTCCGTTATTATTATCAACCAAACACAATCCAATTACTAAATAAGTAATTTAATATAGATTTTATTTAAAAACCCCATATGCCTCAATGAAACTAACGTTCTATAAATTAAAATTTCACTCGATCTAATTATTTATACAATCAAATAAAAAACTTCTATAGTGGTTAGAATTAAATTATTCATATTTGATATTATTATAAATTATTTATTAATCATATTAGTGACTCACGTCACTTTCGAGCTTATATTGAGAATTAGTCGACCATAATTTATTAACTTGGTTTCAGAGTCTTTTGATATTGAAAATTGTGGTGGTCATTTTTGTTTCTTGTTTTATATTTAAAAGATGTAATTTTATTTGAATTTAATTTGTTAACTTAATGACTCTCGAATTGATAGTAGATTTCACTGTCGGTCGAGATCCGCTATCGACCAATAACTATAATGTACAAACAACATCTATCTAATATTACAGTTAGGAAATTAAATTATCTATTTATAAAAGAATAACAAAAGTCAAAATTAATTTAATTTTATTTACTTTAATTTAATTGTATAAAATATCATTTTTCCTGTATGATTCCTAATATCAACTAATTCAAATTTACAGACTCAATCTTATTAATCCATACTTTATATCTTTCTTCTCTCTCCCGTCTCTATCTTATTTTTTATATGCTAACTTTAATTTTAAATTATGTTATTTCAAAAATAAATTATTATTTAAAATAGTAAAAGTATATGATTAATATTTAAAATTTGATATTATAAGAGTATTTTTAGAGAGATTATTGCTACTTTTTTTTGAAAAAAAGGGTTAATTGCACTAGAGGTCCCCAAAATTTGAGATTTGTCTCATTTTAGTTATCAATGTTTCAATTACATCATGTTAGTCCCTAAAGTATTGAATATGTTTCTATATGGTCCTTTAAGCAAACAATATCTGAATTGCTAACGATTTTTTATCATAAACTTGTCATGTAATAGCTAAATATAGATAAAAAATAATTTTGATAGCTCTTAAACAAAATTTGGGTAACGTTTAATAAAAAAATGTGTAATATGAGTAACTTTTGACCAAAATTTGGATAGCTTGTGATAAAAATTGTGTAATTTAGGTATGTATTTAACCAAAATTTAAATAAAAATTTGGTCAAGAGTTATCCAAATTATTTTTTTATCCATACTTAAGTATGATGTGATAATTTTATGATAAAAAATCGTTAACAATCTGAACATTGTCTGTATGAGGAATCATATAGAAACATATTTAATATTATAGAGACCAAAGTGATATAATTGAAACTTTGAGAATTAAAACGATACAAACTCCATAGGAGACTTTTAGTGCAATTAACTTTTTTATAAAAAAGGAAAAGTAATGGAATATATAAGCAATAATACACTTTTGTTTTTAATAAGAACCAAATTTGTGATCTCGCATTAAAATTATGGACTTTTGACTTGATTGGTTCGGTGAAAATTGGAGAACGGTCAAACAAATTCCCGCCGGCGGTGGTGGAGGAAGGTGTTAGAATCGAGGATCGACGGCTGTCTGGTCAACCTAGAATAATCCAAAGACAGAGACAACGCGTTTTATCGCCATTATTGTGGTCAAAAGCTTTGAATGAGCCACCATCACCACCACCAACAAGTCCAAAAGTCCAACCTCTGACCCACAAGCGAAAAAACTCAAAACAAAATCACCCAACCCACCCACCCACCCACCCACTTTCCCCGTTCAAAATCACAGTTAATTGATGATAAAACCCACATAATGCCTCCTTCTCTTTCTCATCAGTGAAAGATCATTCCTCCATGGAAGAATTGAGGAAAAGTTTGAGCTCAGATTCTTTGACCACCACTCTTTGTAACTCGGTCCAAGCACTGGGTAGAGGTTTTGATGTCACTTCTGATATAAGACTTTTGTACTGCAAGGGTGCTCCTGGGTCTCGTTTGGTTCATCTTGATGAAGAAAATACTAAGGATCTTGTAATCTCTGATGGGGTTTTTGTTCCTAAGGTGTCTGTTGATATTGAGTGCACTAGAGAGAAGAGGACCACTGAGATTACTCCTGTCTGGAGCTTCCATGAGGTTGGTTTCTGATCCCTTTTATAGGCTTAATTGTGGTTTGGAAGTAAAGTTATTATCCGGGCATGTTTAGTTCTTCATTTCTGGTGATGTAATTTCCTCTTGGGTTCTATGGTTTTGTTGATTTGATTATGGTTTGGTGGTCAGATCGTTCTAGGGGTGTGTTATAGTTACTGGGACTTGTGGGAATTTCTTGATTGGTGGTGTGTTTGGAAGATGACATAATCATGTGGCGGATTGTAGCTGAAATCAATTTTATGATTCTTGTTGGGTTCTTGGTATTGTTGATCTGAATGTGGAATGTTGCTTTTCACAATCTGTGTATATGTTGTTTCTTAAATTCTGGTATTGGCCTCATTTGGATTTTTTGTTTCTGGGTTTCTGTTCCTTGGTTTGGTTCTGGGTGAAATTTTCAGTCATCTTGAAGTAGCAATTTTTTGTTTGGGATTTTGTTATTGTTGGTTTATATTTATGGAAGCAATTATTTTGCAATTCATTATGTGAATATGTTTAATTATCCAAGTCTGATGCTTCATAAGGTGTTTTGATTTTCAATCTGATGTTTTAAATTTGGTTTCTGCATCTCATCATTAGCAAATTGTAAATAATACACTGTTCTTCTTGTATAGGCATTTTGTAATAACCTATTTGTCAGGTAATGGTGTAAACACGCCCATGTTTGCAGTTTGGGAGGACCTTTGTGTAATAGGCACATGATTTTCGATCTTAAAGAATCCTTGGCTCTCTATCATCTGTCTGAATGAGAAATATTCTACAGTATGTGTTTCAACCCGAGAGTTTGATGTTGAAATTGTAACTTATTGCAAAGTGAGATTTCAGACCTTACATAAAAATTTTCAGATACTGTACCTCCACTTGAATTGATAATAGTGCTGGCCTCTTGATTTGAGTTCACTCTTGTAAAGTTCGTATGGAATGTAGTTAAATGGAAGTTAGAAATTGAATGGAAGTTTCAATGAAACTTATTTTTTGTTGATAGGTGAATACAAATAATGATTTCTTCAAGAAACCATTCTAAGCTCTGAAAAGTTATACATCATGCTGTATGGAGGATTTAAGGTGAAATAGTTAGTTATTCCTTCATCGTTGATCAATTAGTTCAGGAAATTGTTATTGGATACTTGCCAAAGTTTGGTCTATAATGTCCTGATCTTTCTTAGATGTAGGAGGGAAAGAATGGCTGCTTCAGGGATGGACAGTGCTTCCTATTTTGTTGTAAAATTGGACACCCTATTATGCAACCTTAATCTATGACAGAATTTCAAGAAATCACTTCTTTCTCTTAACATGGGAGCATGTCAAAAGTCAAACACTATGTTACTGTGATATTCATCTCACAACAATGACTTTTTCACTCAAATAGCCCCTCCATTGGCTACTTAGAATCAATATCACATTGATGTGTTATTACTTGGTACTCTGAGGCAATTAAGGATTGGAACAATTTCATATTGTCGGGCAAGCTTTGATTTAGGCTATTGTTCGCAGAGGTAGGTTTGAACAAATAGATTGTGAAGGTCATTTTGGACTCATCAGGTGCTCGATACCAATGCATCTTCTTAACCATTGACACTTTCTTTTAGGGATTCTTAATGCTAATTCATCATTGATCTCTATATTCACAGGTGGATTTGTTCCCTTGAGGGAAGTTTAAGGGTCACCTCCTCATATACTTGTCTCATTACAATCATATTTGGCATTGCTAGGACCAGAAGTTTGTGCTTGCTTCTAACTTTTCCTTGAATTTTCATAAAAAAGGACAGTCCAGTACACAAGACTTCCACCACTGCGGGGTTTGGGGAGGGTCAAATAGATGTATGAAATCTAACTCAGCATGCAAAGAGGTTATATCTGCGACTCAAATCTCTGATGCCACAGTTATAGTAGAGTAACCATACTGTTACACAAATTTGCCCTTGAACATTCATAAACTTCTATAGCTATCCTCAACTTTTATGCCAAGGAAATAATGCGTATTGTTAAGTGTAGAAGATTAACACAATATTAGAGAGACAGAGATAGGTCAAAACTTAACATAGCCGTCATACATCACTTGTATTTATAGGTAACTTATAACAAGAATTACACATACACACCCTCTTGTATTTATATATAATACCCTAACACTATTAACAAATTACATATACTACCCTAATACTCTTAACACTCTCCCCAAGTTGGAGTATATATATCATATAATTCAAACTTGGTATAAATCTCTAGAAGACGTGTATGACTCAATGCTTTGGTAAACATATCTGTAAGCTGATCTTCAGATTTCACAAATGGAGTCGTAATCTCCCTAGCTACTATCTTGTCCCGAATAAAATGACAATCAGTCTCAATATGTTTGATTCTCTCGTGGTTGTCACAGAACAACTGTAAAGGAGGTTGAACTGGAAACCCAATTTTCTAGAAAAAGTGTAGTAGCCAAGTTAAGTCACTCATCGTATGTGCCATTGCCTTATACTCAGTCTTAGCACTGGATCTTGCTACCACAGATTGTTTCTTACTTTTTCATGAGACAATGTTACCTTTTAAGAAAGTACAATAACCAGTAGTTGATCTCCGATTAGAAGGAGAGCCAGCCCAATCAGCATCTGAGAAACCTTCCACTCTAAGATGTCCATTAGCTCGGTATAACAGTTCAAGTCCAGGAGCTCGTTTAAGATATCACAGAATACAAGTAACTGCCTCCCAATGTGGTACTCTAGGACACCCCATGAACTGACTTACTATATTGACTGCATAAGAAATATCCGGTTGAGTAATAGTGAGATAATTAAGCTTCTCAACCAATCTGCGATACTGACCTGGATTCTCAAACAGTGCACCATCATCCATCAATAGTTTCAGATTTGGATCCAAACGAATATCAATCGGTCTGCCACCCAACAAACCTGCTGCCTCTAGCATATCAAGTACATATTTCCTCAGTGATAAACAAATATCCCGTTTAGATTGAGCCACTTCAATTCCCAAGAAATACCTGAGTTTTTTCAAATTCTTAGTATAAAATCGATCTTGCAAGAAGATTTTTAACTTAGCAATCCCCTCAGAATCATTTTCAGTATTCAAAATATCATCTACATAGACCACCAATAGAATATATCTAGCATCCGTCTGTCTATGGAACACAGAATGGTCTGTCTGATATCGAAGAAAACTAAACTCTAAAACTGCATCTGAAAACTTACCAAACCATGCCCTCGGTGACTGCTTCAAACCATACAAAGATTTCTTTAATCGACATACACTCTTACCATACTCCCTCTGAGCAGTAAACCCAGGTAGCTGCTCCATGTATACCTCTTCAACCAAGTTACCATGGAGGAAGGCATTCTTGACGTCTAACTGAAACAAGGGCCAATCAAGATTAGCAGCCAAAGAAATCAAGATACGAATAGAGAAAATTTTGGCAACGGGAGAGAAAGTCTTCTCATAATCAACACGATAGGTCTAAGTATTTGTAACAAGCCGGATTTTGAGACGCTTCACAGAACCATCCGGATGAAATTTAACAGTATACAACCAACGATAACCAACAGTTCGTTTACCAGGGGGTAAAGGAACAAGATCCTAAGTCCCATTATGATGTAAGACATCTATCTCATCCTCCATAGCTTTCCTTTAACTCGGATCAGATAATGCATCCTGTAAATGCTTAGGGATAGATATAATAGATAATTGAGAGGTAAAACAAGAGAAAATAGGAGATAAGGCATCATATTAAACAAAATGATTAATGAGATGATTAGTAACATACGAACAAGTACCTTTTCGAAGCGTTATAGGTAAAGAGTCTAAATTACCTAATTGACCAGGATCAGAAGGCGGCAAGGAAGACGGTACGGACACCTCAGTCGATGATCGAGAACGACAAAAGTCTACACGAAGAGGTAAAGTAGACGTTAACACAGTAGGCAGCGGAATATCTGAAGATGAGGGAAGGGATGGTGGTACAAGAGGTGACCCAAAGTCTAGATCCAAAGGCTGAGAAGGTGATGGAAAATATGGAACTGATTCCTCAAATGTGACATCAGTACTAGTAAAGTATCACCGCAGAAAAGGATTGTAGCAACGATATTCCTTTTGTGTGCGGGAATAACCAAGTAATACATATTTGTTAGCTCAAGGATCAAGTTTATCAAACTCAGGACCTAAATTGTGAACATAACAGACACATCCAAAAACCTTAGGAGTTAGAAAAAATAAGGGCTTACCAGGAAAAATTATAGAATATAGACTTTGCCCATTTAACACAGAGGATGATATACGATTAATAAGGTGACAAACAGTGAGTACAACATCACTCCAAAAATATCGAGGAATATTCATCTGGAATAACAGGGCACGGGTGACTTCCAACAAATGACGGTTTTTGCATTCAGCAATACCGTTTTGTGGAGATGTGTAAGCATAGGAAGTCTGATGAATAATGTCAGTTTTACCAAGATAAGCTAAAAAAGGATCAGATTCATATTTTCGAGCATTATTAGAACGTAAAATACGTATACGACAATCATACTGAGTTTTTATTTTCTTACGAAAGGTCTCAAATATAGAGAATAATTCAGACTGAGCTTTCTTAAAAAACAACCAAGTCACACGAGAATAGTCATCCACAAAAGACACAAAATAAGAATATTTATTAGATGAAATATTCTTTATTGGATCGCATACATCAGAATATACCAACTCAAATGGACTAGACATACAATTTTTGACTCTGGACTGAAATAACATACGGTGATGCTTACTAAATTGACAAGCTTCACAAGACAAAGACGACACACAACTAAGATTGAAAACTTGGCGCTTCAGATTCTAGAGAGAGGGATGTCCAATGCGATAATGCCATTGAAAAGGAGACAACGAGGTTTGTAGAGCCCGAGTAGGTGTATCAAAATCAAAGTAATATAGGCCACCAGTTTCATGTCCTGTACCAATTTTTCTCTTCGTCTTAAGATCTTGAAAGACACAATAAGAGGGATAAAAAGTTACAGAACAATTAAGAGAACGAGTAATCTCACTAATTGAAAATAAACTAAAAGAAAACTGAGGAACAAATAACACGGATGATAGGGACACATCAGGACTCAAGTGAGTAGTCCCCAGACCTGAAATTTAAGAATACGTACTATTAGCAAGAGTAACACTACGTGTGGAAGTAGCAGACTGATAAGTAGAAAAAACATCAGACGCACAAGTCATGTGGTCAGAAGCGTCAGAGTCTATGACCCAGGGACTGCGAGTGGAGGACAATAAACAAGTGGAAGCAGTACCTGACTAGGCAAAAGTAGCAGTGGAGGGAAATGGAACAGCCTCTTGCTGGACAGGAACTGGGCATACTCTTCTCGACCCAGTGTAATTGTAACTGACCCAGTCTGGTGGAGCTGACTGATGTATGGAAGTAACAACTGAGGTATCATCCTGATAAGAAGCCTGATTAGCAGCACTAAAAGATTTTTCATGTAAATCCCAACAGAAGTCAACAGTGTGTCCTCCACGATCACAGTGAGTACAAGAATGGGATCCACTACGGCTCCCATGACTACCCGTACGACCTCTTGTACGACCATCTCGATGATCATCATTATGACTACTAGGAACCACAAGAACTGAGCGATCAGAGGAGACACCATGATCAATGCCTGAAGGAGAAGATAATGTAGCACCCTGTAAACGAGAGAAAACCTTGAGCAGTGATGGAAGACTAGAACGGCCCAAAATCTGAGAACGGATAGCCTCATATTCAGGTTTCAATCCTACCAAAAACCTAACAATATTCAAGTCCTCTTGTTGCTTCTGCCAAGCGGTTGCATTAATAGTAAACGGATGATAGGTCTTCATCTCTTCACAGACTGCCCGAACATGAGAGTAATAATCTGCAAGACTCAGAGTACCCTGCTCCAATCGGTAGTACTCCTTGCACACCTTATATGCATGGGTAAAATTACCTGAACTAGAATATATAGTGGCCAAGTGATCCCATATCTCTTTGGTAGTATCAAGATAGAGTAGAGAAGAGTTAATACTAGGCTCAATGCTATTCAACAAGAGATAATCTGAGCATCCTCTTGTTCCCACTTATCATATCCAGGAGTGTCTTCCTTAGGTTTAGGATTCATCAAATATTTCTTAAACTCTTTACCTCGAAGAAAGACATGAACAGATCGAGACTATAAAGTGTAATTAGTCCCATTGAGTTTGACAGAGGTCATGAGACCATTGATAAGAGTAGGAGGAGGCAAAGATGGAGTAAGGGACGTGGTATTTTGCTTGGGTTCCATAATAGTGTAGCAAATTGCAAATAAGAAGTGTTGCAATTCTGAATCGGGATGGAAATAAGGGTTAGACCACTGAACCGGACCAGTTGAGGAAATAGGGGCTGGACCATTGAACCGGGTTGGAAATAGGGGTTGGATCACTGAACCGGACCAGTTGGACAAGCTGCAATACTGAATGGGGTTGGAAAATCGGGCTAGACCACTGAACCGGACTGGTTGGGCTCTCCAGATCACTGAACCGGACCGCTTGTGCTCTCTGGACTGCTGAATCGGCCTGAACCGTGGGTTGGACCGGGATTGGACTTAAAAACAATTTAAGACCCTGGCTTGACCCGATCTGATCCAGACCTGATTCCACGGGTTGGATTCCTTCTTTCTTGCTGGCTGATTAGGGTTTCAAGAGAAGCCTCTGGTTCGACAACACCACACACCACACACCACACATGGCAACAACAACACCACCACAACCACCACACACCACGACGAAGTTGACTGCCACCACCACTATAGCAACCCAAGACACAGACCACCACCACCCCCAACGATCACCACAGGCGACTGCCACAACCACTACAGCGACACACACGCAGACCACACCAACGATCAACACAGTCGACCACCAAAGATCAACACAGACCACCACCAACGATCAACACATACCACCACCAACGATCAACACAAAATTAATTTATTCGAAATATATATTTATCAACACAAAATTAATTTATTTGAAATATATATTTATCATCGTAATGCTCTGATACCATGCTTAGTGTAGCAGATTAATACAATATTAGAGAGAAACAAAGATAGGTCAAAACTTAATCTATCCTTCATACATTACTTGTATTTATAGGTAACTCATAATAAGAATTACACATACACACCCTCTTGTATTTACACATAATACCCTAACACTATTAACAAATTACATATACTACCCTAATACTCTTAACACGTATCAATATTGATTGTTTTAAAATCTCTATTTTGAGCCTATGATATCTCCTTTTGGTCAATGGTTTACTTCTTGCTTAGGATATCCTTGCCCAATTGAATTTGTTGAGGGTTCAAGTCATGTTTACATTTGCTGAATTGTTATTTTTCTCTCTTTGCTGACAAATGCATCCATCATTTTTATGTTGGATTATCATCCACATGTCTATGTTTCGGTTTCCACATTCCCAATTTAAAAAAAATTCACTTCAAAATTTAAATCTAGTCTTGTGGTCTAGCAATTTCTGATGAAATGCCTTTAATGCTTGAACTTTTAGATGGCAAAATACTTCAATGAGAAGTCCAATATCTCTGGAATTGTCCCACTCGGAAGCTTCAATGCTATGTTCAATTTCACTGGCTCTTGGCAACTTGATGCAGCAGCTACAAAATCCCTTGCAATGATTGGATATGTCATTCAATTATTTACAGTGGAATTAGTGAAATCAAACTTAGTTTTGCATGATGAAGTCAAGTGTGCTGTTCCTTACTCTTGGGATCCTGCATCCTTGGCAAGGTAACAATTTGTGAGATCATCTCTGCTACTTTCAAAGTTACTAGACTCAGATTCTTGCTGCATAATATATGTGTGCTGTGTCTTTCATTTATAATGTTCTTGAATAGGAAGCCTTCAAAGGCAGGATGGGAGCATGTCATATGTGGCAACATCATATTGTGGCATAATTAATTTTCCAGTTCATATGGGTCACCATCCATGTTAGTTTGAAGACCATGTCGATTTCAAGTTCCTCTTTAACACTTTGGGAATCTGGTGCTTAATTAATTTGGGTCCTTGTTTCCTATAGATTTTGTACCGGACACTCGTGTACTTTGTGATGCAGCAACGTATGAAGACTCAAGCTTGTTATACTCTAGATATCCTCGGGAATAGTGGCAAATGCATGCAATTATCATGTCCAGGATTGAATTTCGTGCTATTGATACTTGGTATTAGCTATTTAAGAGAGAGGAGACCTTAAGCAGTTAAGTGCTCCAGGAGCACTGTTCTGGCATGATTAACAACTCCTAAATTGCAAATCGAGTTAGCTAGAGTATATGCCACTAGTCTGATAGCTACATCATTTGGAATTTCGATGAGAGCTGGTTTCTTACTTGAAATTTTCTCTTTTCAGCTTTATCGAAAATTATGGCACCCATATTGTTACCTCAGCAACTGTTGGTGGAAGGGATGTAGTTTATGTCAGGCAGCACCAGTCATCTCCTCTGTCTGTGTTAGACATTGAGAATTATGTGAAAGACATTAGAGATCAGAGGTTCTCGGACTTGAAAAGCCAGCCAAGTGCTGGCCCTTTGAAATACAAAGACAAGGTTAGCTAGCAATACTGGTCATGTTTTTTTTCCAAAACACTTGTTCGCTATTACTTCATCTCTTTGGAGAGATGTAACCATGGGTCTCAATGTCAATTTACTCTGGGAAATCTCGTTAAACTCTTGGTTCTTGGTCCTCGTTAAACACTTGTTCACATACCTTTTCCTTGCAACAAGTATTCTGTTAACATTGGATAAATCTGGGAATTCATTTTACTTAATGCAGGATGTTACGGTCATATTCAGAAGAAGAGGAGGTGATGATCTTGAGCAGAGTCATGCCAAGTGGGCAGATACTGTGCAAACGGCACCAGATGTTATCAATATGACTTTTACTCCCATTGTATCTTTGCTTGAAGGCGTTCCGGGAATAAAGAATTTAACACGTGCAATTGAGTTATACTTGGAGTGTAAGATCTTGTCTTATGTTTTTTTTTTTCAAATTTCACTAGTTTGAAATATTGACCTATTTCTAGTACATCCTATGATTTTGTTGTACAACTTCCTATATAAGGTTTATCAGCTGTGACATCTTTATTTGCAGTAATTTTACAAAATGGCTTGGAAGCATTGTAAACACTATTTCCTGACTGCTGCATACTACGATGGTAGTGCTTAACTTGTGGTAAACAAACAATGAATTCAAAATAACTAGAAGGTTACCACTGACCTATATTGCCACGGTTGTTTTAACATCATGTCGAAATATCAATGATTTGGATGACATGCAACTGAACCTATTTTGGTGGTATATGCCCTTGAAAGTTTCACACAAGATCTTTGAAGGTTGGAAAGTCACATTTAGAAGGAAGAAGGCTAAAATCATACTCTATTATCATCTGATTGATAGTTAGTGGACTTATTCTCTGAGATCGTTCTATGAAACAGGGCCTTTGTTCTTGTTAATACAATACTAAAAGATGTTTCTTTGATATTGATAATCAATTACTAATTATTTTTCATTTTTATGAAAAACATCAGACAAGCCACCTATAGAGGATCTACAGTATTTCTTGGATTTTCAAATTGCTCGAGTTTGGGCTCCAGAACAGAGTAACCTTCAAAGAAAGGAGCCCGTGTGTTCATCACTTCAGTTCAGTTTGATGGGTCCCAAGCTTTATATAAGTCCAGATCAGGTATTATATGTTAACTTTCTACATTCCTTGAATTATGTGACATGACTATGATTTAGACTATCTAAGCTGTGCATATTCAATAGAACCATATATGTCTGGTTTTTTCAAAGTAGTCATGGCCTTGTCTTTTTATTTCTTTTCGTTTCTTAAGTACTACTCTTTGCTTACTGTGGGACTAAGAAAAGAAAATATAGGGTTTTTTAGCTGTAAGAAAATATTAGATGCTTGATGAATGAGATAACAACATAGCAGATATGTCGATCTGCCGTCTGTGTGCTGCAAACTGCTGCTTTCTCTCTCCACATATGTAGGGAGTTGGAACATTTGATGATAACTAGAGCTACTACAAACTTGAAGACTAATGTTTATGCTAAAATGACCACCTGCTTGTTAGGGTGTGTGTGCGCGCACGAGTCGATATGTGGCTTTGTAGTTATCCATAATAATGTAGACTGATGTCCAACAAAGGGATGTCAGCCCTTACTTTGAATTTCACATGCCACTGGTACTTCCTTTCCTGCTGGGTTGCTGATCTCTCTCTATATGTGCAGTTGCAGCAAACGTAGCAGAACACATGAAACTTCGCCTCAAACTATCTAATTGTTGCACTTAAAAGAGTTTTCTTCTACTTGTCCAAGCTCATGCTATAACTTAAGCATAAGTAATTCTGTTGGATGGCTAATTCAAGGCATTCTCCTTTGTTGCAGGTGACAGTTGGGCGTAAGCCAGTAACTGGACTTAGGCTCAGCCTTGAAGGCATCAAGCAAAACCGGCTTGCTATCCATTTGCAGCATCTAGTATCTCTTCCTAAAATTCTTCAACCCCACTGGGATGCACACATGGCGATAGGAGCACCCAAGTGGCAAGGTCCTGAGGAGCAAGACAGCCGATGGTTTGAACCAATCAAGTGGAAAAATTTCTCCCATGTCAGTACTGCTCCGATAGAGCATACTGAAACAAGCATCGGAGATCTCTCTGGTGTGCACATTATCACGGGAGCTCAGCTTGGTGTTTGGGATTTTGGTGCCAAAAGTGTTCTACATCTAAAACTCCTCTTTTCCAAAGTACCTGGTTGTACAATCAGGCGATCGGTATGGGACCACAGCCCTTCCAACCTTTTGACTACACAAAGGCCAGATGGTTCTTCTACATCAGTTTCAAATGAGAGAAGCTCCGATGATAGAAAAGGGGACACTTCAGGCCAACATGGAAAACTGGCAAAAATTGTGGACATGTCAGAAATGTGTAGGGGACCTCAAGATATTCCAGGTCACTGGTTGGTTACAGGGGCTAAGCTTGGTGTAGACAAGGGGAAAATCGTTCTACGCGCAAAGTACTCATTACTGAACTACTAAAAGATCATTATGTAATTGTAGTTTTTGCCCTCCACCACCACCCACACCCCCACTCTGGCATAGTTAAACATTCTTTAGACAGGTGACCATTTTTTTTTGTTCTTTTGTACATTTTCTCTATTGTAATTGATTTTTTTTCTTATTATTATTATTATTATTATTTTTGCAATCCTCTGTTGATAGTCATTCTCCTAGTTCTTTTCCTGATTTTGATATTGACTTTTAGTTGGAATTCTGCTTATAAAGCATAGGGGCTTTGGTGTTGATTAATATCATTCATGTTCAATTTCACATATAAACAGGTATTTTGTACTTACTGCAAAAGCTTATGATTGTGTCCACTGTCCAGAATGACTAATTTGCATCTGTTGTGGAAGAACCATGCTGCTTATAAAAATGTCTACATTGCAGGTCTACCAACTTCTGTGAAACAAAGTTGCATGGCCAAAATAACATTGCTTTTGTGATGTGTCATTCTGTATAATAATGGTAGACAAAGCTCCCCGGCCATTGCGACTCTAGAGTGTCAGATTTACGTTGTCTTACCTTGCATGTGGAGATAATATTTTCGTGATTCAAACATCTGACGTTCAAATCATAATAAAATAATCTTTTGTTGCATCTAGTACTGCCATAAAAGGTGATAGGAAGGTGATTGGAAGATGAGTACAATTCCTCCCTTATCTGGAAACTTTGAGTACGGTACATGAGGAATTTTGGTGCATACTTGACTGATCCAGGGGCCCAATTCATCCGCACTCTTCAGACCAGTAGCTTTGTTCAGTATCTTCTGTCGATTGTCAGCTTGTTCAGGCGACTTCAGAGGATTCAGCTGACCTCAGAGGATTACAGTATGCTTCTTCTCTGCAGCGATTACAGTCTGTTTTCTAAGGTCAAATTACTCTAAAACATCAACAGTCTAATCTAGTTGTTTCCTCAAACGTGACATACACATAGAATATTTTATTTATTTTTCAATTAATAGTTATAAATTATCTAAACCAAAATTTATAGTAGTCTCATCAATTTCGGCACGGTACCTCAAGCATTACCGAAGCACTAACGCTGACTAATTTTCGATGTTTCCAATTCTACTGAGCACATAAACAAACAGTTATTCTTTTCATGATAATTGTGGATGAAGTGCTTCTATTTGGAGCTTTCCAATTAGACGTTCTTCCACCGTCACAAGCTTTGGCTATTAATAGAGTTCTTGGGTTTTTTTTTTCTATTTTTTTAAAATATACATAAATATATATCTGTATTTTAATGAATGATGAGCAAGCACAAGCACACAAAAAAGGAAAAAAGAAACCCGAAGACGGGCACGATTAAACTCCCAAAGAAGGAGACATTTCAATAATTATTTTTAAGAAGAATTGATTCCTCACTATAAGAATTAGAGTCTTTTGATACAATTTTTTTGTGGTGGCAGTGTTTATCGTTACAAAAAAATGTGTTTTAGAGATTTTTTTTTTTTGTAACGATAGTACTGTCATAAAAGATTTATTTGTTGCTACAAATACTATTTGAGACGACCTTTGCCGTTTAAAGAAACCGTATTATTGCAACAATTTGATGCAATACATATTGTGTGACAATAATTGCCACCATTGTTGCATTAAGAAACAAGTGTTTTTTCTTTCTTCAATTGAGTAATTTCAAATTTGTATTGAGAACAATTAAATATAATTTTATAGATTCAATTTATAGTATCATATGTGTTGAACTAATCTAACTTATTTATTCTTGTATCGTGTTCGTGTTAATTAACATAATTGTTATTTAAAAATTTCAAGTTTAACCAAAATCGTCGTTCATAATTTTTCAGATTAAGAATTCACTAAGTTTATAAAATCAAACAAACAAGTAAAACGTTTATTTTACAAGATACATGTTAATATTTGATCAAAAAGAAAAAACATCATACATTTATTCATAATCGATGATTAAACTGTTGTTTGTAATTTTCAATTATAGCAGAATAACTTATTGAAATATCTTATTTGTGTCATCCATTTAGAATAAAACAGTAATAAGAAAGAATAAAGCAGTAACACATAAATTTATAATTAAACAATATATAAACTGATATGTTTGCAAATCAAAAACTATGATTGAACTTGCGGTAGATCAAAACTAGTATTTGACAATATGTCCTTAAGACAAATTTCACCCCAACATTTAGTGCTTATTAAAATTTGCCTCCTAGGATACAATAATCTTCATGCAATTAAAATTAGCACTTCAATCCAAATGCTCAACGAACTAAAACTGTGTTGTATACTCTTAGATATACAGATTGCTAATGTCAAAAATTTTCTATGTAATGACTACATTAATTCGTAATTATGTAAGTGCAAAATGCTAATAAATTTGAGTTATTTATAGACGGAATGGTGACTGATTCAGACAACCATTATGCGAACAGATGCAACCCAGAAGATACCATTGATGTCTGCCTATTGAGAACAAACACGAAAATCAAATTTTGAAACTGGAGAAAAATTAAATTTGAACCAATGCGAAATTTTGAAAGCCAACGGGTAAAAATTTAAATTCGGGTTAAGAATTTCGTACCCAATTCGTAAATGAATTTTTTTCAAAAAGATAGAGTTGGGTCTAAACAAAGCCAATGTAGGTCGAATTGAAGCTCATTTAGGTGCTTGTTCTACTCAGAAAAGTGTGGTACCCATTGGAACGCTACCCATAATGCAAACATGGGATATATATGCAGTTTTTGTTGCCAAACCAATGTGGAATTAGTGTCAAATATTACATTGCCCAACCTCTATTTTCAGGGTTACTTTGAAGCCTATTTTCTTATTCATTTCTTACTCAATTTAAACAAGTTAATATACTATATTATTCTCCTTACGGAGAAGAATACAAATCCACAAAAGTTTACTCGAAATGACGAGTGAGTTTCACTTTAATTTAAACTCAAAATCGACAAAAAAATTAATTTGAATTCACAAAAACTGCTTTGATTCCAACAAAATGTGCATATGATATCATTTTCAGGTAATTCATGCCGATGCAAACCCGACTTATTTATTACTTTTGTTAGCAAGTTTTGTTATTTTTGAATTTGTATTGAAAATTAGTGAACTATAATCCGTTAACTTCATTTTGTGTCGGGTTGAAAATTATTCCTCTTATTTGCAAAGTTCTAAACACAATTATAGGTTTGATAGTTTACAGAGCAATTACACATTTGACAGTTGATAATTAACTACAAATATAGTTTTTTTTTAAACCAAATTGGTAGGAGGATGAAGAATTCATTATTCAAAATTTTTAAAAATTTAAAATATGAGAAGGAAGGCTTCTTAAGCGCTCTCCATAAATTTGTTTGGTTTTATCTATCTATCTATCTATATATATATATAGAAAAGTTTGTCTTGATCTTTTTGTAGCTCAGATCATTTAATAATTATTGATCCGATGGTCCTCATGAGAAATTATTTTAAGACATCTCCCATCTAACTCCTTCTCTATATATCTTATACTCTCTCTCTCTCTCTCTGACATTATTATCTTATTTTTTTTTTCTGTTTCTCATGTGTTATTTTTTTTTATTATTTACTCCATAAAACATATGAAACTATATGTTATCTAATTATTTATTTCATAAAATTAATTCAAAGTTTTTATATATCTAACGTCATGTATTTTTTCACTTCCTTCTTAATTAGTTGGTGTACACGTGCATTGCACATGAACTATTTTGAATTGTATTTTTTATTTTTGTTGTTTATTTTGTGCGATATGGATTTTATATTTTTGTTTTTATTGTATGTAATGATGTTAGATATCAAAAATATTTTTATGTTGTTCTACAAATCCAAGACCAACCAAGCTCAGCAAAATATTTAGAGATGCAGAAGATATTGTTTAGGCCGGCTTTATTTTGTAACAACTAACTTTTCGAGAAAATAAAGTTGCAACAAATAAAATTTTAAAGTATGCAAGAAATGTTGTCCACTCTATTTGTGCAATGATCTTCTCTGTCTTTATAGGTCTTTGCCTTATTGATGCGTTCAAACTCTTGGCATTTTGCGTAGCATCTCCTTTATTACAATGCACTAGAATCTGTTCAAAAAAATTTGGAACCTACCAAATTTCATACTGCAACCTTTCTAACTAATTATAAAGCCTCAACCATGCAGAATGAATAAAAAAAACAATTGAGAAGAACAAAGAACAATAACACACTATTAACATCTAATCAGAACCCTCAAACAAAATAGGTTTTTTGTATTTGTATGTATGTGTGTGTGTGTGTGTGTATATATATATATATATATATATATATATTCCTTTTTCTTCTGTTCCTTACTATTTTCACTTCACCAAAAGAATAAGAATAAAATTTACGGAGAGGGAGTAAAAAGAAATAACAAAGATTTGGGATTTACTCTATCTGTTTTTTTTTTTTTTTGGAAGGGGATTTTGGGAGGGGGTTTGAATGTTTGACTTCAAGAAGACAAAATTTTTACAAGGTAAGGAGTACCATTAGATCAAAGACTCATTGGTCCAATGAACGCATCCTCTATTTATAGGCAACTAAACAAGAAAAGTTTCACTAACTGGGGTAATTAAGTGGGTATAGAAAAAGGTCTATCTCTTTAGCTTCTCAAAGTGGCGGTTGGAAAAATTAAATTGTAGAGAAAATGTTAATAGATAAAATTAAATTCTTTTTATGAAATTGTGTAAGAAGAGTTTGGAAATTTAATTTTTTTTTATAATTCTTGACGTGATAAATGTGAAGTTACAGCAGTATTTTATGATAGATTAAATTCAAAATTTTTCTACATTTAAGTCAAAATTTTGGTTTAAGACATAATTATTTTTGTAAGATCATTAATTATGATGGATAAGTATGACAGTTGTATTACAAATTATGATGGATAATGTCACACTCTTTTTTATGGACAAAATAGGAGTGTGACATTAATTATGATGGATAAATATGACGGTTGTATTATTGGGGGGTAAAAGTGAAAAAAAGTATTTCAACTATGTTGATATTTTAAAGTAGTATGCATAATTTGTACATAACACTTAATATAAATAAAAAATAGTACACATTTGTTATGATTTGATGCCTTTTTTATCTGAGTTCAATAACTTTGCCTAAAATTAGGTCTTAATTGATTTAGAGTCTAAATTCCTCAAGAATTTCCATTGACAATGACTTTTATATAGATTATTTTTGTAATTTTATATAATTTTGGTACTAAATTTTCTTAATTTTTTTAAACTATCAATTTTTCAATTTTTGTTTGTTAACTTTTTAATTTATTTTTACATATTTTCAAGTGAACTAGAGATTTTTGAGTTTATCAAGTGAAGGTGAGCGATTCTTTTAAAGAAAAAAAAAAAGAAAGGGAGTAAACAATTAGTTTGGTTTAAGTATGTGCCGTCAAAACTAATTTTTTTTTTTTTATCAAATGATATAGTAAGAGGAAATACGTTATACTATATAATTTAATGTCAATTTCATGTTGCTTTAATCAACACCAAATAATATTCAACACGAAATGAACCTTAAATTGTAAATTAATATATAATTTTATTAAAAATTGACATTTAATTTTGTCCAATTTATATTCAACTTTGTCAGATTAATATCAAATTGATTTTTATTGTTATAAAATTAATATTAAAATCTATTTAATCAATTTTTTTGGATACTAAATTATCAAATCTTATTTCATTTTATTAAAATTTTAATATTTTTGGGTACTAAAGTTTGAGAAAGGCAATTGTAAAAATAATAAAAAAATATGAGGTGAAATCATCATTTTCCGTTAGAAACATTGACAGAAGGGAGACAGAGGGGGTCTTTATACAATAAATTTCAAACATTAGGGAGTCTTCGTATTATTTATAAAATATCAA